GTCATGGTAATGCACACCTGTCATCCCACAATTCTTGGTGGCTGAGGCCAGATGATCAAAAGTTAAAGCCATTAAGCCCAGCCTGAGCATCTCAGTAACTTAGACCCTGCGTCAAAAGTTCAAAAATTTTTTAAAAGCTAAAAATGCACCTCCATACAAAGGCCCTATGTTAAACTTCCAGTATCACACACAAAAATGAGAGAACTCTTTATCAACATATATGATAAGCACACAGCAAACACATCAATGACCAAAAGTTCAAAGAATTTCCTCAGATTGAAAGATAAGAATCCCACTCTTGCCACTTCTATTCAATAGTTTACCAGTGCAAGTAGGCAAGAAAAAGAAACTCAGAATGCAAAAAGTTAAATTTTCACTATCTGCAGATATGATCTCATGTATATATATATATATATATAATTTTATTTAAAAAAATCTCTTAGAACTAATAAATTTGGTAAAGCTGCAGAATAAAAAACTCAACATGCATAAATCAATAGTACTTTTATACATTAAAGTGCAACTGTCTGAAAAAGAAATCAATAGTCACATTAACTGCAGCACCAACAAAAACAAAATACTTGGGAATCAAGGGTAGGAGGAGCCAATGTCACCATCCACCGTGTGGAGTGTGGCGGTCCTGACATGACAAGACACCAAGCCTCAGGAGGAATGTGCTGCCATCGAACTATCCTACAAGCCAGATGTGCCCTACCTGTCACACCCCTCTTCCTCCACGTTTCTAGCACCCTACTGCTTAAATGACTGTCTCTTTGGGGTCATTATCAAATAGTTAAAAGGAAAAAAAAAAAAGATAGCAATGCTTATTTTTATTCACCAAGACCATTTTGACCATAGTCTGAGAGATACTAAGTTATTTGAAATTTCATAGAATGAATAATTTGATGGTTTTGTTGAAATTCTAGCTCTCTTGAATTTTGGCACCCCGTAGATGAGACCACAATCATACACATTTATTACAGCACTCTTTGAATTATTACAGAATCTCAGAGCCTTACTGCTAAATTGAGCTTGAACAATTTTCTAGTAGAGTTTCCTCATTATTCGGAAAAGGACCTTCAGAGATCTGCAAAAGGTTGTCGAGCCAGTTAGTGACCAAACAAGACAAGAAGACTAGTTATTTTAACTCCCAGTCCAATGGTTTGTCCTAGCTAAGCTCAAGTTTCTAATGACTTCATTTTCATGTTCTAAAATTTTAAGACTCTGGAATATTCATGGGAGATCTCTAAATGGCTAATATCATCACATTGGTTAGCTTTATGCTTTAAAGTACTGAAATAAGAACAATATTTTTTTCATGTCTGCACTGGTAGCATTTATGTCCTAAAGATATATAAAATGAATGTAGTAAATCTGATAATATAATATTAAATTATACAATTTTTATTTCACAAGTAATACATGCATCTTTTTCTTAGAAAATGCAAATGAATATGTTGTAAAATGAGTATAGGTTCTCAGCCTTCTCCCCTAGTTCTACTATGCCTCATATTTTTTTATTAATTTTATTGAGAAACAAATAGCAATGAGTTCCAAAACAGGTTAGTAGGACAGTTACAATAATTAATACATTGCATATTGTTGTCTTCATAGCGGTTATTCATAGTACAAGATGCAGACATGATATCCTGTCCAAACACTATTAGTACAAATCTTTCTTCTCATTGAATTAAGAGGAAGTAGGTGTATATCTGTCCTAACTCTTTTGTATATACAGATACAAAATGTCCTTCATTCGTATCCCCTTTTTTGTTCAGTTTTGTCAGAGATGGGTATTCAATTGCTATTTAAATATTGTAGGTACGTGAATTCAGCAAAATAATCCAGTATAGTCCAGTAGTCCACAATAGTAGTGAGTTTTCCATAGGGCTGGCAATGTCAGAAGTTGTTGACTTGAGCCTTTTACAGCTCAGCATATTAATATGGCTTTACTTTTTATACCTCATTTTTATACTTTTCTGCTGGATGGTTAAGGCCAAGATAAAGCAAGACCTATATATCAAGAAATGCAACTTTTGTATCTGACAAGGTCAGTCAAATCCCCTCAGGATTTACCCTGAAACCCTGTACTGCAGTTTGTAGATCCTTTGTCAGTGTCAGCCATGTGGATGAGTCACGGCTATTGCTTGACCAATTTGCTCTCTGTGAAAGCCCGAGAGAATGTTTTCTCTCTAGGTGACTCTCCTTAGGTGCACTATACATCATTAATCTCATTCTTCTGTGGCCCCATAATCTCCTTGATCAGAAAATTTGGGACAATACTGAGTTACAGTACAGGAAGAACAATATTTTTAGGAAGATAGAAAATGAGCTTCATTTTGTAAAAGATGTAGCAAACTCATTTCCCATTTGTAATTTGTAATCTGTTGTATATCTTAAATGAAGACAAAAATGGAGAGATGGTAAAAGTTTCCCCATTTCCTTAATGATCTAAAACAATGAAATTCACAATTTAAATCTGTTTATTCACAGTTTCATTGGTCAAAGTAATACAGTGTAAGGACAAACACTCCAGATGCAGGCTGGTGCCTGCACTCAGGGCTTTGTGACCTTGGGTACTGACCTTCCTTCTGGGCATTTCAGTTTCCTCATCTGTACAATTAGTATATTGTACTAAATCAATTTTTAGATTGTCAAACAAACTTAGGACACAAAACAGGCCATCTACCTCCACACTTCTGAGATCCCCTCTAACTTTTAAAATACAATGAAGCTAAACATACAATTTCAAATGGGAAACAGGAACAGATACAATCATTAGCACAGCTAAGACTATTTGAAAGGCATATTCTTGACAAAGGACTGCAGCCTGATCAATCCTACACTCGAGTTAGCTGAAGCACTTCTCTAGAACAGTCCGATTTCCCATGATTACCAGCATTTTGCCCAAGACACTGTACTACATGTGAAAAATCTAAATATATCATGGGCTTCTAGCACTGTTTTCTTACAATATTTTAATGAGGCATCAAAGTAGTCCTGCTGCTTATGATTACACAAGTGGACACAGCTGGAGTAGTCTGCCCACAAATCAAAACTCTCTTGTCATAGTTTAAAGGGTACTCACTTTAAAACCATTTTGATCCTAACTTTGGAGTAATTGAACAGCCTATGTTCCTATACCATGGCTACACGTATAAATGACTCAGAAAGTCACCAGCTTCCCCATACAAGCAGAATGGTTATTAAAGCACACACTAATAAAAATAAAAAGAGGGCCAACCAAATAGCTCAGCGCCTTTAAGCACGTACAGGGGCTGGGGGTTCCATCCCCAGGACAGCCATGCCAGCCCCGCCTCCCGGGCACGCTAAAGCAGCATTGAGACTGGGTTTGGTGGCGTGATTCCAGCACTTGGGAGGCTGTAAACAGGAGAATCACTATGAGTCTGATCTAGTAGTGAGACCTTGAACACCCTGTAGACCCTTCCCTAAAATACAAAAAAAAAAAAAAAAAAAATTAAAATAAAAAAAAAGACTCAGAAATTCATTCTGCTTATTCATATGTCTTTGTTACTTTCCTCATTGCTGGGACAAAATACCTGATACCCACACCTTAAAAGGCCCAGGCAGGATGACACAGCAGAGAGAGCTGCTCAGGCATGGCAGACAGGAACCAGAAAGAAGGGAAGAACCAAGGAGGGATCTAGATCCTCCTAAGCCACATGTGACCCAGTGCTTCAGACCAGAACAGGTGCTACCTCCTGAGAGCAGGTCAGCTCTAAGCCCCACAATCCAATCACCTTCCAAAAGGCCTGCGTGTGAGCACGTGAGGCTAGGATCTGGAGGATGTCTGGGTAACTGGGCATCTAGACCACAGTGACAAGAAAAACTGAATCCATTCTCATTGTGCGTATAATCCAGAAGGGGAGAAATAAACTAGACGTCAAAGATAAAATAAATAAATAATTATTTTTAAAGGTGATAGACATTTTGGCCAGAGAGAGACAGAGACAGACAGACAGACAGACAGACAGACACACACACACACACACACACACACACACAGAGGGAGTGAGGAAGAGACAGGGAGAGGGGTAGGGACAGACAAAGAAGGGGGAGAGAGAAAGAGAAAGAGAGAGAGAGAGAGAGAGAGAGAGAGAGAGAGAGAGAGAGAGAGAGAGGCCAATTCTAAGTAGATCAGGACAGCCTCACCACAAAGGTGTCATGTAACAAAAAATCAGAGTAGATGAGGAAAGGGGGCAAGTAACTTGACTTAGGGAAGAATTTTATGGGCAGAAAGAAGCCATCAGACAAAAGCATACTTGATTTACTCAAAGAACAACATGGCTAGGGAAAAGACAAAACCATCCTGCTCTTGTGGTCAGGAAAACTATAAAACTTCACCTTCCAGCTGAACCTCCTATTCCAATGCTCTCACACTGAAAATGAAAATGTTAAGGCCTGTCCTATCAACTTATGAAAGTCTGATCTTTATCAAGAAATGCCAAGTTAAAATTCTGAAAATTTAAGAATATTCCAAAACCAAGATCTCTGATTCTTGTGTATTTCTAGTCTTCTGATCCCCACATATACTTGGATAATGACCTGCTATGTGCTATGTAAATATGCCAAGTAATAGAGATATCATTATACAGAAATCAAGTAAGTTATTAATTTTAGAAATTCAGAGAGCAAGCACAAAGAAATTTGTTATTTCAACAAGGAGAAATTTCAAGATTCACAGTCTACATGAAAGCATTCGCTCTTTCTGAAATTTCACTGTCTCCTTGAGAATTGCTATATTGCTCATTTCATTAACTTCCTTCCAGAAACTGAACCAACGGTGATGGCAGTACAGTGTACATGGCCCTTCTCTGGATTCACATCACCACAAATCAATACCCACACAGAGGTAGTACTTTTTTATGAAGGAAGAGTCAGAAAGCCCTCCCCACCTCATTTCCATCACTCGCCTCGTGAGAAAATGAACCACGACCTCCAGAACTAACAATTACAACCTAAAACATGGGCGACCATACCTTGCCCAGCTGATCCTTCTTGACAAAGCCAGTGGCAGCTGCAATGTTCCCAGCTCCCTCCACAGTCTTCTGCGCCACAGCCGTCACACCTGTCACCACTGCCCCTCCAACATTTGTCACTTGTTCTTTGGTCTTCTCAGCCACTGGAATACATTAAAAAAAAAAAACATGAATTACATAGTGTAAAATGATGAAGACTGAATAATTCTACCTCCACCTGCCTTCACCTTCTTCACATGTATAGCTACACACATCACAGGCAACAGCAGGGTCAGAAGAAACAAAAGCTGTAAGAGTTCTAAGTGTGCATGGTATTGGCAAGCGCTGACTCTGTGCTAAGATCATCCACTGCAGTCATGCAGACAGTAGGACATGCTTCTTACTTAAGTGTCGTGGACACACAGTTATGAGTGACTTGGCCTTGATGGGCATCAAGGACAGTGTACAGAAGCAGCTCTCACAGGTGCAGCTACAACTGAATCAATCTCAGCATGACATGTATTCTTGTCCATTTCAATCCCATCTCTTCAATCTCACTCAGCAAGTTCACTTTCACCAGTCTTGTAAGACAGCATATACAGCATGTCCAGAAAATGGAAATTTTATATACCCTAAAGGCTGACACCCTTGAACACCAAATGACACCACAGGTAGAAAATTCCACGCCATGAACTCTTGTCTGTACCAAACTATTAAAAATATTATATAAAGTTACCTCAAAAAAAAAAAAGTTACCTCCAGGGTAAATGAATGTACAAAGTATATGAAACATAACTGAATTCTGTGTTAGGACTGGGATCCCATCCCCAAGATGCCTCACTATACAAATGCAAATACTTTAGATCCAAACAAGGCTAAAACCTGAAACATTTCTGATTGTATGTTACTTTGGATAAGGGGATATAAATGTCATTCATGTATGTTACAAACAAACAACAGAACACATGTCTGTGAAAGAACTTTGATCTTTTTATAAAAGAGTTATAAGACTGACTTTTAGTAATTTTATTTTATTTTTTATGTATTTAGTACAAGGTCTACAGGATCTCACTACACACATCAGACTCATAGTGATCCTCCAGTTTTCAGCCTTCCAAGCGCTGGGATTACAGGCATGGGCCACCATGCCCAGTCTCAATCACCATCTCTGAGTGTCGACACAGCGCACTGGGGATCAAACCCCAGTCCCTGGGTCTGCCTAAGCAGGCACTTTAATCTGCTGAGCTATCTGGTCAGCCTTTTCAGTAATTTTAATGGGAACAGAAAGCTGTAGTGTAAAAACTAATATTTACTGAGCACTTTAAATTTCTTTCATAAAATAAAAATGATTCAATTTCTTTAGACAAGCCAGAAACATAGACACAATAGTGTATGTATTGTATTCTAGAGATTTAAGTTCAATATTTCAATTGAGAAATTTTCCATAACATTGTAGAATCCAATTGCTGAATCAATCTTTCTTTATTATTTCCACAAAATTACATACAAAAAGGTTAGTTTAAAATGTCTGTTTTTTAATTAACTGAAGAAGAAACTAAAGACAAGAGATTCATTTATTTTAATAATTCTCAGGTCAACAGAGAACTAAACTGATCAGTCTTCATGTAATCCTCTGCACATCGGTATCCACAGATGTGGGCTTCTCCATCTATTATTATATCTACATCATGCTTGTCTTTTCGTTTTGCCATACAAACTCATCCTTTTCTTTATTCTCTTAGCTCAATTTTTTTTTCCTTTTGAGAGACACTCTCCTAAACAAATAAAAGACATTTTTTGTGTTATGCATTATACTCTCCAGTCCAGACTCAGTCCAAGGACATCAAAGAATTATCCCATGCCAGCTACCAAGTGCTTCCCACGAGACTTATTCTGGACAGATTCCATGTCACCAGTTAGAAAGGACAATGATCAAAGAGCGTAGGCAAAGCATTTTGTTTTGAAAGGCTTACTTTAAGTGCCATGGAGATGCCTGAAACAGTTAGGGTCTAGCCAATCTAAAATCAGAAAGCAACCACCTCAGCTGCTACTCTACTGGAAGCTGCTGGTCTCAACTATGCAGGCCAGCCTCTGATGCCCGGCCACTCCCAGGGACACGGCTGACACCTCCTGAAGAGCAACAGCTAATCACAATTCAAGTTCAATTTAAATGCCACTGAAAAGTTGTCCAGGCAATTATATGTTTTAAAATATTCTTGGAATGTTGATCCTTTAAATATAGTAAACTATGTGATTCAACTTGTGGGGTTTTTTTCCCAAGAACATGAATAGAAAGTTTTGCCTAAGATGAAAATTTTCTTGTCAAAAACTCTCAAAGAAAGACAAAAATAGGTTCTGATTTTTTACAGACTCACAGTTTTTCTTCCAGCCATAAATTTTACATATGTAGATAATCTTTTATATATGTATAAATTTTAATCTATTATTTCAACACACACATACACTACACAGTACTATGTACTACACTTTCACTAGGTTTTATTATTATGAAAATAAATTAGTTATATCATAAAAGGACAAAGTTTACAAGTAGCAATAATAGACATAGTTTAAAAGATTGATTTCTCTAATAGGTTTCTCACTGACCTTGAAACCTTTTTCCTTTATTTAAGACTTTTTAGACCACCTTTGTAACCACTGTCATTTCACAATTGGAAAAGAGACAAAGGCAAATTAGTACATTTTGGATTTAATAAACTGCATTTATTTTTAAAGGGAATACCTCTAAAACTACCAGAATAAAATGGAACAAAAATGATCAGAATCAAAATGGATATTTCCCTCCTCCCCAATAGAGACTTTGCTTGTTGCTCCCAATTGGCCGATTTTTCTCATTTTGGTATACATAGCTTACTCTAGCCACAAGCCTTTATTCGACCTGTTTATTCATGGAACTCAATTCCTTTATTAAAACCCAGTTCAAATGCCACATTCTATGTTTAAAAAAAAATAGTTCTTCACAGGTGCCTTTCTTTACCCTTCTATGATTCCATGAAGTTTTAAATATATCTCTTAGGTTGAGCTTTTACACTGTACCATATGATTCTCCAACAAAGTATCTCACTACTTCCATCCACCCTATTTATTATGAGCCCTTCAAAAATACGGGATTCTGCTTTATTATTCTTTCTATTATTTTCTAATAGTTACTCAACAATACTTTGGAATGTGGTAAAAAAATTCTGTGTTTTATCTTTAAAACACATATTAATTTAAATATTAAATAGATTTACATTTCATTTTAGCTCAATTAAAGGTAAAATTTCAAAAGAAATTTCATGAGTATAACATCAAATATCAGGTTATAACTAGTCTGGGTATTGGGAGGAGCCAGCTACACTAAAAGCTATTCCTCCACATCAGGTAAGTAAATGACTTAACTCATTGAATAAGGCTATTTAATATAAAATCCAAAGTCTTGTTCTTTTAGAAGAGACACAATAAATCGAACCTCTGACATTAAATTATAAAATTAAGAAGGTCTAGCTGTGAGTTAGCATAAAAATGAGAGTTCAGATATTATATCATAATGTTGAAAATTTGCTTTGATCATTATGGTACGATATATTGTAAGAACTGAAATTTTCAGAAAGTCTCCAATATTAGTAATTTCTTTTATATCATACTTGAAAAAATCAAGTAACTTATGTCACTATTTCTAAAGTTTCTTCAATGATTTATCTTTCATTAAGTCAAGTAAATATATTCTCGTATACTGCTTTAACCTGATACATTAGGTTGACGGCTGATATAATTTCCTGGATGTCAAAAAGCCAAAAGTCAGAGTGGAGATTTCAGATTTTCTAACAAACAGATTTATTCTCTTTGATTTTTTTTTTTTAGATTAAAAGTTCTTGGCCTAAATTTACTGAAGTCTACATTTCTATAAAACAGTTACTGGGATAAATCCTGGGCAAATTGTACTTTTAACAATAGTGAATGTTTACATATAATACAACATTGCCTTGTTTCCTTGAATACAGACTAATAGCAAGAACATTTATTTAGCTGTTATGATGTATCTATAAAAATATTTCAGACCAAGCCTAACAAGCAATAAATTAATTATCATAAACTTACTGATCCCCATACCAAGACTTTGGATTTTATATTAAATAGCCTAATTCAACGAGTCGTCTACTTACCTGATGTGGAAGAATAGCTTTTAGTATAGCTGGCTCCTCCCAATATCCAGACTAGTTATAACATCATATCTGATATTACACACATGACATTTAACCTTTACTGTCATGGTGACTGACGTGAGGCATTAGTCAAGCACACGCCTGAGTGTGTTTGGGCGGCTTACAGAGGCCTGACTTCAGGGACAGGATCTGGCGCCCAGCCCAGCTCCTCCCGCTTCCTCCCTTTAGCTAGGAAATGAGCAGCTTTGTTCCAACCCACCCTCAAACTATAGTTTCTGCCTCAGAGCCAGCTAACCATGGACTGAACCCTCCACAACTGTGACTTCAAACAACCCTGTCCGACTTTAAGTTGCAAAGGGTGGGTATTTTTTCCCCAACAACAGGAAAGCTGACCAATGCAGTGCCATTACAGAGTCCTTGACTGTACAGCTGTACTTACTGCCTGCGCCCAAAATGCAGTGACCCTGCCGCCTAACAGCGGCTCTCACAGCTTTCTAGGAAACATTAGTTTTGTTTCACCCTGAATCTAATGAAAGAAACTTTCCACAGGCAAATATGTTTGAAGAGTTCCGGATTAAACTATGTTACCCCATATTTTTTTTCTTGTAGAACAGCTAAGATTCTCTAACATGCTGAAGAATGAAGAATGCAAAATGTTATAAAATTTTAAAATTGTAGAACAATGATTATAAGCTATTGGCTCAAAAACATTTTGTAAAATGTTGCTTTATTGTAAAAACTACCCTTCCCTCCCTTCCCTCCCTCTCCTCCTCCCTCCGTCCCTCTTTTCCTCTCTTCCTCCTTCTCTCTGTCTCACACACACAGACTCATTTACATTTACAATATGGCATTTTGCAGCTCATCACTATCGCCATTAGACAAAAGTACTAGTTAGCATCTTGCGCCGTGGCTCTGTGCCCCTGCCACACGCTGTCCTCTTTCTGAACCTCAGGCTTCACTTTCAGCTGTCTCAGTAGAACACCACTGATCTAGGTTAAAACTCTTCCAACACAAGTATCCACCTCTGCTATCCAGTTCTTATTAAAATCTTGCCTACTATCCTTTGCACAAGGTTCCTAGATGGCATGACAGCTCGTCTGTTTGCCAAACTCTCTGCATTATATATTAGATTGCAAAAGAGCAAATGAAAGCTACATAATTAACTTCTAAAGCAGTTTCCAAGGCATTGTTTTATTTTTACAGCTTCATTCTCTTCAAAACACATGCATTAAAAAACATGAAATGTTTCTCTAAATGTTTTGAAAATGTTGCTCAAGACAGGTCCACTAGAAGGAAATAAGCTAACACCTGAATAACACAATTTGCTTCCAGTTTTAGCATTTTGTGTCTGTTAGGTTCACTTAATTCTTTCAGAGACAAGGAAATTAAGTCACACAGAAGTTAAAGATCTGACAGAAATTTGAGCCAAAGAGGTCTAACACCAGTGTTTCTGGTCATAACCAAAAAAGTGTATTAATACTATTCATTTCATTTTCCCCATTTCTTTTCTAATTCCATGATGCAAATGTTTTTATGAAGCATTATGTTTAATGCTTCCAGATTATATGAATCATATTTCTGACTATATCTCTGGTTTCACCATACTTGTCAAGAAACAGACAGCATAACACAACATAAAACTCAATTACTGTGGCCTAATTTGTTAAATTTTTATTCTACTTTGATTTTTTTTTAGTTTTTAGTACTGGGAATTGAAATGAATCCAGAGTGTCTGCACTGAGCTACACATTTACCTTTTAAAAATTTTTTGTTCTGAGAGCAGTTCTCCTAAATCCCTATGTTGCCCGTGTTGGACCTGATTCTCAGAATATGGGTATTTACAAGCATGTGCCATGATGCCTATTCCTTTTTTAAAAATTTCTGCCACTATTATCATCATTTTCTTCATCCCCATCAATACCATTATTTTCACCATTACTGCCATTTCTTTGTTGTAAGTCTCCATATAGACCTATTCAAGGTCCTGTTAACATTAGGCCACAGGTAGCTAACTATAATAAATGATTTAAAATCATCCCAAGAGTATTTTCTAAATTCTGATTATATGAATGTGCTGTGAGGCATAAAGGAAATACTATAAACATTAGAGATCATTATCACAACATTTTAACACAATGTCCAGAAAATTTTACTTTAATCCTTTAAGAAGTAAGAGTTCTTACATTTTATTTAAGTTTACATCATGTTAATTTTAAGTCCAAATTTTCAAATGACCAAATACTATAAATAAAACAAAGTGGGTCAATTCAAAGTCAACATTCTTGAAAAGTAAATATCTGTCTGATTTATTACAAATATTTACTTTAAAATGCTTGAAAAATAATTCAATTTAAGTCAGACTGATGCTCCTTCAGAACCATTCTCTGTATGCAGTGTTTGTTTACAACTGTATTTTGGATGATCAATGCTCTGGCCACACTGGTCACTTGCTCCTCTATCTTCCCTGGGAAGAATCCCCTGGGAACTCACCTGTAGTCACACCATGAACCACTCCCTCCTTGGTTTTAGAGCCTGGAAAAACAAACAAATGCAAAACATAAGTCTCAGGCTGTCTTAGGTATCTGGTTAGCGAGTATGAAATAAACCAATTAAGAAGCTCACTCTTCAGAAGCCCATATATAATGATATCCTCAGAGGAAAAAACACCTAAATATGATAAACAAAAGATCCAGTAACCACTTCAACAAACAGAAGAAAACAAAGCTGACAAGAGAGCTGCTCCAATTAATATTAATGTTAGAAGCAAGCCGGGGAGGGGAAAGGCTCACTAATGGGTTAAGCTGCAATTAGACCGTAACAAAAAGCTCCAGCTTGCTGCTGCTGAGCAGGACGATCACAGCAAAAACTGTCCCACATACTTCAAAAGCTGAGGGCAGAGGAGTTTGGGTTGTTTTACCATGAGGAGCTGAGAGATGTCTGAGAAGTTAAATATGCATAACCTGATTACACAGAGTATACGTGTATCAAGCACCCCACTTACCCACTAGTATGTGTAATTTTTGTGATTTGTATGTATCAATTAAAACAAGTTTGATTCTTAATAAAGATTTTAGCACCCAGTGATAACTTTTTATGCCACTGATTCCCACATCATATACCACCTTGGGCAGGGGTGGGACAGGGAAGTCACATAGCACTAGAGCTACTGGGGGGACTTCAGATCCCAACCAGAAGTTTTAAAAGCACAGCACAATCAGATTAGCTAACCATTAAACAAAATAGAAGGAAGGGGCCAAAGTGTACTAGCATTTGTCAAATCCCTATTGTGTAAAAGGCAGTATTTTATATCACTTCCTTGGCCCCTTTACGTGCATGTAATAGATATTATGCTTATTTCACATATGAGGAAATTAAAAATCTAGTTAAGTGATTTGCCTATGGTCACACACTGCATATGTAATAACAGGTTGTAATGACAATCAAACATTGTATGTAAAATACAAATTTCCTCAGTCCTTGACCATTACAAAATTTGCAATACTTACATATTTGAAAACTAAGTTTATTAACATTTTATTCATGGCATCTCTAATACTGGACTTTTTGGTATAATTCATGCCAGTTTTTTAATTAAAATGTTTCTGAAGAAAACAACAACAGATTTGACTTTTTTTTTTTTCAGAACCAGGAATTGAAGTTAGGCCCTTGCGCTTGCCAGGCAAGTGCTTATTCTACTGAGCTATATCTCCAGCCCCTTGACATTTAATTGAAAACTTTCTTAGAACCCAAATAATCTCTCTCAAGATATAAAATAGTATAAGACAATGTAGACATAAAATCTGAGAATGAGTTAAACAAAGGGATAGCAAGATAATTATTAATCTTACTTTAAAAAGGTACTATGTTTTGATGATCCTTACAAAACATGTAAGAAATAAACATATGCACTATTTAAACCAAAGAAGAAACCAATACAAGGAGACCTCAGTTTTCCTTTCAGCAAAATTAATAGCATAAAATGAGGTAATTATTCTCAAATAAACTGGAATGCACGATGACAGAGTTTAGAGCATAATTAACTGAAAAAAGGTTCTGGTTAAGAATGATAATTAGGCTGGGGAGATAGCTCAATGGTCTAAGCATCAACCTGGCAAGTGCAAAGACCTGAGTTCAATCCCCAGGACTGCATGCTCTGCTGGACCCAAAAGCTAGCGTGTACCAAACAGGTGTGGTAGCACACACCTGTAATCCCAGCGCTGGGGAGGCTCAGACAGGAGGATCACTACATGTCTGAACTGTGTAGTGAGACCTTGTACCCAATAAATAAATAAATAAATAATTTAAATGCCAATTATTAAGTTAGAGCCCAGGTATTCAATAAATGCAAAGTATAATTATTTGCATTTTTAATAAATGGCAAGCACAATGTCCTGAATTCGAGTTCATTCAGAAAAAAATTAAATATATTTAAAACTTTCAATGTGAATATAAAGACCTTGGATACAAATGAAACAAACTAAAGCTTTGTGGCTAACAATGTGAGCTTCAGATTTAGAGTAATGGGATGTAAATCTCCATGTTATCACAAAAAGTCAAACATGTATCACTGGCCTTTCAGTCATCACTTGATATTTGAAGCAAATAATTCATATAAAATTCTTAAGGTGGTATTTAGTACAGAATATATTTTGTTAAGTGAAAATTACCATTCTTCACATATGATGTTTGTAAAGGGATGCCCCATTTAAACCACAGAAGACTGAGCATGACAGCGCCTGTCTGTAATCCCAGCACTCCAGAGGCTGAGGTAGGCAGATGGTCATGAATGTGAGGCCAGCCTGGGCTACGCAGTGAACTCAAGGACAGCAGCATCTACACAGCAAGACTGTCTCAAGATGATGATGATGATGATGATGATGATGATGATGATGATGATGATGTACAGTTTAAGCCACAGAAACATCACCAAGTCATCATGCTATATAAATAAAAAGGTTTAGTTATTTAAATACATTAAAGTACATGTCTGTTATGGTTTGTATCTAGATGTCCCCATAAAAACCTGATGTTGGCTATAGGCTTGTGCTTTTTGAAAGTGGCTGCATCTACGGCATGTGACTGATTACAGTACAGTGCTGGGATTAAAGGTCCTGGGATTAAAGATGCTCATTGTTCAAGAGTGGGTGACTGCTGGATAAATCCACTGACTGGATTTGCACGGCCCTCGTTCCAGTAGATTAGATACACAATAAGAAACAGAAAGACCCAGGTCTTGCTCTCTTTTGTTACTTTTGCTGTCTTCTGCAGCTATAAACTATACCATTGTGTCCGGAGGCAGTCAATTATGGACTAAAATTATTACCAACTATGAGCTAAATAAACCTTTCCCTCTTTAACTT